AGCCACCAGCCCCCCCAAGCCCCTCTCGGCAGGACTGCTCTCGATCCTTTCTTCCCCCAGCCTGTACTGATACTGGGGGTCACCCCAACCCAGGTGCAGGACCTTGCACTTGGCCTTGTTGAACCTCATGAGGTTCACACAGGCCCACCTCTCCAGCTTGTCCAGGTCTCTTTGGATGACATCCCATCCTTCTGGTGTGTCAACTGCACCACTCAGCTTTGTGTCATCTGTTTTGTTGTGTTTGGTTTTTTTTCAGGGCCCTGCTGGGTGTAATCAGAGAATAAAAATGGAAGTACTTTGGATAGCAAGAGGAGTAGCCATTCAGGGCCATTAGCAATGACCACAGCAATTGCATTACCTCAGCACAATCTGTAGCGTCAGCAGAAAAGGAAATGGCTTCAAAACCAGCATCACCTGGAGCATCAGCAACTTCAGTTGGGAAAGAGCAACAAAAATAGCAACTCCGATGAGAGATGTATCAGCAAGTGCAGGGTCATCCATAAAAGCTGTGTAATGCAGCAGGTCTGAAAATAGCACCTACTATAATTATTTCCTGATTAAAAGGAACCCACCCTTTGGAATCTATTAATTTTAAAAGATCTGGTTGGCAGGGTGATGAGTTTTTACCCATTTGAAGTGCATTTTAAGAGACCAACCTGGATCTGGGGAAGAAGAGATCAAATTTAGTTTTGCGTGAAATGACATAAACAGTGTTTGGAATAACTTTTTTTTTTTTTTTTTTTTTTTTTAGGGAGAGAACTCTGCTTTGGTAAATGTTGTCAAATAATCATAATGTAAATATGTCTCCTCCACTCATTGGCTTCTGTGCAAACTTAAGATGTTCATATCAGGGTTTTTAAGTCCCTAGAAGTTTAATTGTGCAGGACGTTGGCAGCTGGCAGTGAGCACAAGCGTCTCGAAGGAGATGATGAGGATCACACAAAATGAAACCACAATTTATGCTAGACTTTAAGGACTGCATTCTGTCTACAGCCATGCAGACACACCTTTCATTGAACTCAGTAGAGCTGTTACACATTTATTCAAAGCCAAGGTATGCCTTCCAGTTTTGAAAAACAGAACAAAACAATAGAAAACTTTTCTCTACAAACCATAAATGCTTTCTTTGAAAAAAATACTGTTTCTTTCATTTATGGAAAACTGCACATAAACAGAGGCTTTCAGACTGCTTAGAAAGTAGTCACCAGGCTTTCTATTATCTGCCTCAGAAAAACGTGTCCTTGAATTCTGCAGGACAGTACAAGAGAGAAACTTGTAGAACTGGCACTGGGTAGGGCCCTCCCTTCCCCACATCTGAACTAAATTTGTAAAGAGTGAAATATTGTAGGGTTGGTTATTGCAGGCTTGTGAGATCGCCCAAACTGCATGCAAGGTTACCCAACTGGTTGGTCTATGCGGTGACCACACCAAAGAATGCACTGTGATCCCCACAGTATAAGCTGATATAAACCTTATTCTGAATATGGAAAGAAAAACTATTTTAAAAGAAAATGTTCTGAAATAGTGCATTTTAAAAAAAGGAGCAGGAGGCTTTGTAACTGAAAAAATCACAGTTAGACTCCAGGAAGTACACCAGCTAAATTTTATGTTGCCTTTCACAATGCAGTTATTTAAATGACTTATTACTGGGTTTTCCTTTGGCTCACTAGGTGGCAGTGGTTTGTTGCTTACACTGAAGGTATTTAGGTCAATTCTAGATGCTGCAAGAATTTCTGTTTCCTCTGAAAATCTGAGTTAGACTTTATCTTTATGATGACTGTTTTGGTGACAGCAAGTCTGGCTCAGCTTTGATAAGTTTTTGGTGCTGTCTTATCAGTGAACAGCTTTATGCTGTTCGCTCATGTGAAATTATTGACATTTTATAAGCATCATTTCTGAAAGTTGGGTGACACTCATGGCTTTCCTTTGTATCGGGAAGCTTTTATTTGGTACAAGCTTATAGCAAGTTACTAAGACTGTTCAAATATCTGTTAGTATCTTCAGATAATACAGTAGTCAGAAAAGTCTTTAGTCTTTGTTTAATAGAGTGATCTTTGGTAAGCTGAATATTATTGAACATAGGCATAGTTGAGAAAACAATCAATTACTTTTGACCAGACCAAAATGATCGTGAAAGTAATATTTCATATTGGACTTTCACATGAACTGAGCAAAATGTGAACATAAATACGTTCCAGCTGAAATTACTTGTTACAGTTGAGTACTAGAAAAGGCAGGTGAGAGAATAAAGTCCAA